CCCCCTCTCTCACTACCCGTCAAACTACTTTCAAATAAAGGCCACTAGAGTCAACAAAACCTTTAAAAATAAATAAAGGTGATTACATCTTTATTTTCCAATTGGTCCTGCTTGTCATAATGTCTAGCTATGGGAAATGTGCCTGTAGTGATCATATGCTACCATAATTGGACAATCTTAAGACATAATTTCACAGTTAATTCTTGCAACTTATGATCAAATTCTGGTCTCATTTTGTTTTGATGCTCTTAGAGCTTCCATGTTTTTAGGAGCTTTGGGGAAAAAAAGTTTTGAAATTACTTTTATGAAAGAGAATGTTCCAGTAATCTGCATAACTTGGTGCATGTAGTCACATTCAAGGATGTGAAGTCTACTTGTTGAAACCTAATGCCCATTTGCTGTCTGCTTCAATGTCTCTAAGCAAATTTCAATATTTTGAAAACTGTTGCAAAAGAAACGTCTGAACTAGGATGGTACTCTCTTAGTTTCACACAAAACAAAAAATAAAAACATATACACGCTCTACCTAAATTTAAGATGCTGTTATACTTGTATAACATGGAATTTAAAAAAAAAAAAAAAAAAAAAAAAACTTCACAAATATTGTTAAATTAAAGCCATGTGGAAATTAAGTTAAGAATCTTACCAGTGACAGCAGTAAGTTGTACTCCACTGCTTCTGATGCTCTCAAACACAGAGAAGAGAGTGAATGTGTATCTGGTTCCAGCAGTGAGAGATGAAACTGTGTAGTTCACTGGTCCATCTCCATCTGGTGAACTGATGAATGTTTCTGATCCATTAAACTGGAGAACAAAGCTGGTGCTGTTGTTGATTTTATTCCACTGCAGAGTGATGCTGCTCTCATTTTGAATGGATGACCTGAAGCCTTCTGCATTTTGAGGTTCTTCGAAAAAAAAAAAAAAAATCACAAGTGACTCCATCATGTCACTACAATTTGTCTGACAATGAACATAAGATATTATATTCAATTGTTTGTAAAAAAAAAAAAAAGTATACTGAAAACATATGATGAAAGTTTCTCTGTAAAACATAAAGGTCTCACAATAGTAGATCTTCAACAACAGGTGCAGCTTTTAAAAAATAATGAAACCTTTTTCTCTTACTGGTAACGACAGCAATGCTGACTCCACTACTTCTGACGTTATCCAACACAGAGAAGAGACTGAATGTGTATCTGGTTCCAGCAGTGAGAGATGTGACTGTATGCAACACTGGTCCATCTCCAGCTGGTGAACTGATGTTTGTCTCTGTGCCGTCATACTGGAGAACAAAGCTGATGTTGTTGTTTATCTTATTCCACTGCAGAGTGATGCTGCTCTCATTTTGACTTGATGCCCTGAAGCCCTCTATGTTGGCTGGGACTGAGAGAAAAAGTTCATCTTTACTTAGAGTCTACATAAAACAAAAAACAGAGGAGTCAAATTTCACTGAGATATTTTATGCCTCAGAATTGGGTTTTCCTTCAGAATGAAAACTGCAACTGTACTAACGATCTTGATTTTTCTCTTCATATATGAAAAATCATGAAACTCTAAAAAAATTAGAAAATATTAGAAAATATTAAATGGGCTTTAATATGGGAAATTTGAAATTTAAATCACCTTTGCCTAAACCCATTTGATATTTTCTCTGTATATCTGATTTTTTACTTAATTTTTTTATCATTCCATGGACAACACAGGAGTATTTCTCTCCGCTGTTTTTAAAATTTACATTTATTTCTATGTCTGATTTAGTGTTTTTATGTTTTGTAAGTGCAATCTTGTATTTCAACGAGACAACCTGTACTATGGTCAAATAAAGAAAAAACTAAAAATTCAAAAAGTTTCACAGAGAACTTAAAGCATGAGTTTACAGTGTTAGTATGTGAGCAGTTATTAACACATTTGCTTCTTATGTTAAAGATCAATATATAGTACGAGTTACTTGGTTTGTAACAGATGAAAGGAAAACTCTGGGTGCAGTCTTCGTCCAGCCATTTTCCCGAGTCGCTGAATGAAGCAGCAACACATTGACTGTAATCATCGTTTGGCTGACCGGCCGCCCAGTGTCGAAACAGAGAGGGGCTGCTGTCTGACCACAGTTTGTCCCGATAAAGCCCAATCCACACCTCGATGCCACCCAGTAGTGTCCTGATGTTATTATTTTCTGCTTGATTTCGAATGCTGTGAAGAAAGAAAATTACAGAAACGAATGGAAAACTGAACTGGTTCTGCAGACAATAACTTTCTTTGTCTTGGATTATGATTACATTTTCCACATTTTTTTTGACATTTCAACAACAAACTGATAAAGTTTTATTGATTTCTCAGGACAGGTAAACTAAGTAGCACATAATGATAAAGCGTATAAAATGGACAAAGTTTTTTTATTTTCAAATGAAAATAAAATGTTAATGTTTGCTTTGTAGGTTCATAAGTTTTAATTTTGCTGCTGAATTACTGCAATGACAAAAGTGGGAGAAGAAAACTCATAGTGCTAAGTAGTACATTACATATTTCAATTTGTTTTAATATTGTGCTTTTATTACCTGGCCAGGTCAATATAATTCTCTCTGCAGAATCGCTGAGCTTCGGTCCAATTCAGTGATTGGGTACTGACGAAATAAGACGGCGAGCCACCGACAATACCTGCAGATCAAACGGACTGACGATTAGGAACGCTTGAAGTTAACCAGGTACGTTATTAATAAGGGAATTCCTAGGAAATGATGCCATCAAGTGGCTTTAACCAGAATTACATGAGCAGAGAAAGAAAGAATAGTTCCACCTTTTTTCCCCCATGACCAACATTTCAGTGTTCAGGAGATTTTATACAAGTAACAAAAAGAATTACAGACTTTTAGTGTAAACTGAATAAAAATCTTACCAGTGTAACACAAAAAACGTCTCAGGTCCAAGCACTGACGGTCATCCCACCCACCCAAATACGTGTTGTCACTTAAAAACCTAACACAGTGCTGCTGTCCACCGAGGTCATTGGGTGAGCCGGCTATCCAGTTCCTAAATGTATACTCTCCAGCTCCATAGAAGCTGCTGTCATTCAGGGACCATTTCCAGCTGTTGTACAACTCATCATAGAGGCCTATCCAAGCATTGCCTGTTGAAATACAGTTTCAAGTTGTCAATGAGCAGCTGTGAAGATTGATCTAAGAGAATTTGTATTTCTGAATGTCTCCAGACATTTTTTTTGTACAAATATATATATATATATGCATCTCAAAATATAAGATCTGTGTCTGAAACATTTAAGCATGCAGTGAGTGTTAAGAATCTACCCGAATAGCCAGGATTTGTCCTGAGAACAGCATCAACGTCGGCCAAGTTTTCAATGGTGGCCAGGTCGGTGTAGTCCCGTCTGCAGACACTCTGGGCGTTTGTCCAGGTTTGTGCAGAGCCTACAAAGTAGTACTGACGAGTTTGTGCAAAGGCAACGCTGAGGAGTGCGCCTAGAATAAAACACATTGAGTAATCCATAGCTGTTGAGTACGGATGCATTCACTGGCCATTTTATTCAGTGCACCTGTTAACACAGTGATTCAGCCAAACACGTGACAGCAGTTCAATGCATTTAGGCACGAAGAGGTGGACAAGAAAACTTACTGACGTACAAATTGAGTTAGCTGAAAGATCGAGAACTAGATGGATTAATAACTATGTGTCCCTTCCTAGAAAAATATCTGTTCTAAACTTTGGGTACATTGAAAAGTTGCAATATTTATCACAAAGTTGTTTTCAGGTCACTAGAATAGAGAAAAGGTAAGTAGGGAGATAGTTTTACATCCTGATAACTTGCTGCATTTCTTTTCCATATTATGCTTTATTTTTTAATGTAGAATTGATTTGCTGACTAATTTTCAATTCTTGTCATTAGTTGGGGTTTTACAAATGAGTGAAATGTGACAAAAACCTAAATATTAGCTTTCAGAATTTTGACTTAGTATCCTGTCCCACTTCAGTTATTAAAGAAAATATGCATTTGAAACATCAAGTTTCTTTTACATTTACTTTTCCATGAACAATCCTTTACTTTTAGTTTCTTACAGAAAGTATTTAGAAGAGAACATTTTGGTTTTATTTATTTTTATGCTTTATTTTACGTCTGTTTGTACAAGCTCCCCATTTGTAGGAATTCCTTTGATTTCAAACGAACATGCAACAAAATACAACATAAAGCAGAAAATTAAATCAAAAAGGTACGAACCTGTAAGTCCGAGGTAGATCAATCTAAAATCCATTGGTCAAACTTTTAAAATGACCAATAATGGTTTAATGGTCATCCACTGAATCTACCTTATGAAGTTCTCGCATCTCAGTCAAGTAAAAAAAAAAAAAAAAATCCAGATACTCAACATTAAGATTTTAAAGTTCATTTTTTAAAAAGTATTCACCTTCTTGTTGCTAAAATTGTCCTGACGGAAAATGATACACACCAAAGCAATGAGGAGGTGTGTGCTGCAATGAAGTGAAGATACTCATGAACAGAAACTTCAGGCGCTCTGCGGTTTTACTACTGTTAGAGTAACAAAGAAACACGTCTGATTAGTTTTATAGATCCTAGGAACTTTTTGGAAAGATTGTTCCTCGTTCTGCAGTAACATACAGGAATGAGGATGTGTTTCAACCCAGCTCTTGTGAAAATTAAAGTTATCCTTGTTGTCACTTAAAGCACAATGTACTGACATTTACACAAATGATATTAACAAATAAAGCTCAGTTGTACCACAAGCTGTACAGCTTTTTGTTGAGATGCTAAGAAAAGCAATAATGAATTTGAAAATCAGTGGATGGATATCTTAAAAAATGCTCAGAAAGGAAATTGGAAGATGATTTTATTAGCTATGACTTTGCAGTTTTTGAAACGCTTTCCCACATCATCACTACACCAGGAACTGCAGAGGACTGCAGTTAAATCTGGCACATTTACAAGGTAGACTTATGTCTATATATCCTTTTTTAAATAAACATTTATAGTATTTTCATAAACTAAACAGTAGAAAGGTCTCCTGACGCTCCAGCTCAGCCCTACAGTCCTTGTAAAGTGTGTAATCTCACGTACCGATTCTTAACAAACCTTTACTGAACGCTGCTTGGTTAGTTGTTTTTTTTTTGTTGTGAATTTCTGAATTGGTTTTCTTACTAAGCAGTGTGTACATGTTGGACCACAACTCCTCTCCAATAAAAACTAAAAGCCGGAGCCCACTGTGTCATGCGTGGAGCAGGGATCGGACCAAAACACAAACAGGAAAGTGGAAGTTTCATGATGACTAATTTTTTAGAAAGAATTTAACCAAACTCAACCAAAACTTCTTAAAAGAGATTAACAAGTGACAGAGAACACAGCGGTAACATGAATGGGGATCTAAGAGATGTAACAGAGAGCAGAAGGGCTAATCTGCAGCAGGTGTAATCAAAAGAATGAGGAACAGCTGGAGGGAAACCACAAGAAGAGGACAGATGAGTAAATGGAAAACAGCTGCAACATAAGTTGAAAATGTGATTAAACAAAGAAGAAATCCTAAAACTAACATGAGCAGCAACAGAAAAAACATTACAAGAGTATAAATCTAAGTGCAAAATATATAATAAATCAAAAGGGAAACACACAGAGGAAAGAACAAAAAAGAAAGGCTCAAAACATGAATGAAAACCAAAGTTGTAACACAATGCTTAATAAACTAAAAGGTGATGTGGGAACTGAAGACATACATTCTTGTGGACTGAATTGTAGAGGATTGTTTTCTTCCAAATTAAGTCACAAAACCTTAACGGGATTAAATGAGCAGGTTCTTGCTAAATCATGTCAGTGCCACCAGGGTAGAGAAACATAACTCACTCTTGTGGTGGAAACTCTCTTAATTAGTACAAGACATTTAATGGCCATTTACCTTAAATGCATCTGTAATTAAACTGTGGTCAAATTAAATAAGTCTGAACACTACACCAAACTACTCCATTTACAATTTTTAATCACACATTTATTTTGCATGAAGATGTGAGAGTTCTCTGGTTTTTAAGCAGAGAAAACTTGCTCTGCATTTAACCATAAAGTATTATGAGAAGCCCTGTTGAAAGCAGTTGAACAATGAAGTTGATGAAAGAATCTGGTCTGCCAGGAAAACTGTCAAAAGCCAGTGACTCACAAACTGAAGAAAATCTCATATTTCAGAGGTACATAAACTATGTAGACAACAAAGTCAGAAGATTTTGTTTTTACTTGCTAGTTTATAAGGATCCTGATGATAGTGTCTGATCTACAAATGTAATATGCATCAGATGATTCCAGAGTATTTATAATAAAAATGGAAATTTATTAAAAACGTAGTTCAATCAGATTCTGTGTTTTCTTCCTGCTTTGTCCTTGAGCTTTCAGTTAATACTTAAGAAAATTTATAAGTGCAAAAACAGTCAGGTCTTACAAAGTAATGTCTTCATGTTCAGTAGGGAAAACCTGAATATTAATGTTTGGAGTGAGAAGTACACAATTTCAACTGGCTGTATAGTCTTACAGTAACTTTTGTGCTGGGTCCGTGCATTTTCTGTAACCAGATGTGGGAGATGCATGTAAAACATGCTATGTTTGTTGATGCAGGGGCAAAATACATACAGGAATATGGAATTAGCATGGTGAGGTTTTATATTAATAAGAAAACTTACAAGTCTCACACAGGTAGTCAGGTCTAGGAGTACAAAAAAGACTAAATGGCAGCAGAACATTCTGGAAAAACAGGTCATGCCAGGAAAGAAGTTAGCGAAGAGTGGCAGAGACAGAGAGGCCTGAAAACTGAGGAGTGAGATTTACTAACAGGATGCAGCTGGGAGAGGAAGCACACAGGTAGAAACTTTATTAAACATAATTTGTAGAAAGCTGAATCTAAACGTGCTTCTACAAGAAAAGTAATTGCTAGTATTTGTTGATTATATTCATGGGCGTAGGTTTGGGTAGGGACGGTAGGGACATGTCCCGACCAATATTCACGGGATATGAAAAAGTCC